AACAGTTGCTTCAAAAGTACCGCCATTAGGGTTTTAGCATTTTTTGTTTAAACTGGATTAGTGTCTCTGCCACGGTGCCAGACGGTGGCATGCAGGGGCAGAGAGCGGACCCCCGAGGTGTTTGTTTCTCTCTAATGGGCAGGCTCCGGGGGGCCACGAGCTGAACTGCGATTACTGGGAGCTCATCGGCCTGGCCCCAGCAGGAGGGGCTGACAACCTGCTCAATGAGGATTCGGAGGTTGATGTGCAGCTCAACAACCGGCATATGATGATTCGAGGCGAGAACATGTCCAAAATCTTCAAGGTGCGCTCCATGGTGGTGCAGGCCTTCAGGGACCACTTCTTTGCCAACGGGTATTACGAAGTGAGTATGTTCTCCCTTGTCAGCAAATGACTAATGGCCTGACGGCAAGGCTGTTTCCTGGAAAACTTGTGTAGACATTGCCATCGTTGCCCTTAATTCTGCATCGGGTAACGACAGGCTTGTCCCTTAACAGGTCACACCCCCAACGTTAGTCCAGACGCAGGTGGAAGGCGGCTCAACCCTGTTCAAACTGGATTATTTTGGGGAAGAGGCGTACTTGACACAGTCGTCCCAGCTTTACCTGGAGACCTGCATTCCAGCGCTGGGAGATGTTTTCTGTGTCGCTCAGTCGTACAGAGCGGAGCAGTCCAGGACCCGCAGGCACTTGGCTGAGTACGGAGGGAGTATCCTTGGCCGTTACGTGTAACGCAGAGGAGTAGCAGTTGTTGGATGGCTTAATGCACACTCAGCAGTAAGGGCTGAGCAGATCCAGGGGGCAGTATGTGGTCTCGGTGAATATCCGGCTGCAGTGATGTTTACTGAAGGAAGATCTGGGTGAACAGCCGATACGTCGTAGGAAGCTCTGTCTTGTTAGAAAATACAGTTCATACTGTTGTCTTCTTTTACATCCTCATTTCCTTTACACTGTAGAAGTGGGAGAAATGAAAAGGGGGACAAGAGCTTGTGTTCTCAGGGTGTGGGTGTGTTTTTCTCCATTGTTCATTGCTGAAGACTTGTCGCCTCGTGTGGATTTGTGTTTCAGGTACACTCACATTGAAGCTGAATGTCCTTTTATAAGTTTTGAGGATTTACTGGACCGCCTGGAGAACTTGGTTTGTGATGTGGTAGACAGAGTCTTGAAGTCACCTGCGTCGAGCTTACTGTACGACCTGAACCCGGTAGGCAGCAGCGTGGAGCAGTCGTGAATAGCCAGGAAAACGCCATCTTTGGCCTTTCCTGATCAGCGTGCTCGTTTGGGGGAGGATCAAAGGAAGGAAAATGCTTCCGGGCTGGCAATGGCTCTTCCAGAAGCTGGAGCCTGGGAGGAATTTGCCCACTGGCAAGTGCCAGGAGTCAGCAGTGTGCTGGGATTTAGAATGGTGCTGGCATTAGAATTTAGAATTTTAATCGGCTGGTGCTGGCAGATTGAGCACTGGGGAGCAGTGAAACGGCTGCTCTTCTGCTTTCTACCCGGGCGCGTGGAGCTCTGCAGCTGTTTTCAGCTGTTAGAGACCCTTTGTCTTCTGGTGCCTTGGCCAGGGTGGCTGTAGGAGGCTGCTGGCTTCATCCCTGGGTTTCTGTCAGCGTGCGTGCGTAATCAGTCATCCCTCTCGTTCTGACCCGTGTTCCTGATAAACCCTGGAGAGTTCCATTTTAAATTTGGGCTGAGAGAGAGGCCGGAAGTGGGATACAGCAGAAGCACAGCCACCTCACAGAGGCGAGTTCTAAGGCTATTCCGCGCGCAGGGAAGCAAGAACGTCCTTCTGTGGCTGTGCGTGTGGAACCTCTGCCTGATGGCCGCCTGTGAAACACCTGTGTGTGCCATGCGTTCATACGGAGAAGGAAATGGCTTTGGAAACGGCTCCTCTCCTCCCTCTCCGGCCTTTGCCGCATCTGTTCTGTGGGCTGCTCTGGCCTTGGAAGGCGGCTGTGTTGGGTTCTAGCTTTCCAGTACTGAGCTCCATTCGTTTATTAAGTAGGAAGTTGTTGATGTAGGAGCTGGAAAGAGTAGCGTGGATGTGTCAAGTCTGAAAGGGACTTGCTGATCAACTAGAGAAGTATTCTTTAAAAATTCTGCTTTTCCAACTGTCTTTCAGGGCTTCAAGCCTCCTAAACGCCCTTTCCGACGCATGAACTATACGGAAGCCATTGAGTGGTTAAAGGAACACGATGTGAAGAAGGAAGATGGAACTTACTATGAGTTTGGGGAAGTAAGTCTGTCCGAGGCTCTTCGGGAAGTAAACCCAAACACGGTCCTGCAGCCCCTGTTTTTTCCATCTACCAAGAGGTGATGGAGGTGGTGGGAGGGAATAGCCCTCGACTTGTGCTGAGCTTTGGGTTCCAGAGGGAAAGAAGGGTTGTGACCTTCCCTGGGCTGGCACGTGCGTTGTGAGCCAGCCTTGCACAAGGCAGTTCCTTGCACTCTCCCTGCTGTGCGTGCCCCTTTCCACAGGGATCGGTGCTGTAACGCAGTTCCAGTTGGATGGAAACAAGCAATGGCCTGTCTTTTCCTGCTAAACACCTGATCATCTGACTTCAGCTCAGAATCTAAGGAAGTGTGATACCATTGTCTGAAAAAAGGTTCAAATTAAACCTCTGAGGGACATCCAGAGTTTTCTGATTAAACAAAGTGTGTTCGTAACAAGCCGCATCATCACTGATGTTCCCTGTCCTAATAACTGGTGTCATCCTTCCCTTCTCCCCAGTTTTTAAACAGTGAAACTGCTGGATTGATCTAAAGGGAACTTCTGTGAGGTGTTTTGGTTTATCAGACTTCAGTCAGAAAATGTCAATAAAACCCGAATAACCTCATCTGAGGAACTGATCAGTTGAGGTTTTTGAAAAATGGTCCATATATGGAACAAGAAACTTCTTAGGGTTTGTGGAGAATGGTGATGGGGAGGAGGGAGATCAGGCTTGCTGATGTTTGCTGGATGTTTGCCAAGTCAGCACTTCGGGTTAGGTTTTCCTCTGTTTTCTGCCTGAAACACTGGGAAGACTCGGGTTTGAGTGTAACAGGTGGACAGCACCAGCCCCCCGACCTGTGTGGGTTTATGTTTATATACGGCGGCTTCCAAGGTGGGTTTGTTCTGCGGATGTAGGTACCTTGGGACGGATGTGTGGATACGTGTGCTGTGAAGCTGTCATGGTTTCCTGCCACGTGCACGTGGAACTCAGGGTGTCGGAGTGGCTTTGGTTGTAAACGTTGATAAAGCCGCCTTTAACCGTAGGATATTCCCGAAGCTCCGGAGAGGCTGATTTTTTTTGCCCATCTTGTTGTGCCGGTTTCCTGCGGAGATAAAGTCTTTCTACATGCAGCGCTGCCACGACGATGCCCGGCTCACTGAATCTGTGAGTTGGTGTTTCACGGGGGGCGGTGGGCTCTAAACAGGCCGGGGAATGTCGGTGTGCGCCAGCGTAAAACGAGCGAGCTCCGCAGGAAAAGCTCCGAGAGTTCTCGCCGGGCGTTGGTTCCGGTGTCTCTTGGCACGGCGTGTTGATCCTGCAGGAACAAGGGAAGCAACTCGCCGTGGGCTGTGGGCAGATCACCGCGAGCGTGCTCGTCGCGTGCCTCGGCTGC